TCAAATGAGAAGACGACGCAGCGCGCGCCCGCGCAGCCACTCTGGTATGGGAGTTCTTCGGCTTCAAAGAAAACAGCACTTTTAAGGGGGTCGCACACCGGACGAGAAGCGCAGAGAATTCTTTAAAATTCGAACACATTATTTTCTAGGAGTTTTACACACACCACCGGCACCATTCGCCGTCTGTCCGCGACGCCCAGCTATGGCTCGGATTTTCAGGTGAGATTCTCAAATCATTCAGTTAACGGATGCGCTCTGACTGAGGGAAAGTGTTCAGACTGCAGACTTAGCAACGATTGTATTTAATTGTACAGTACAATCATAACATTGTAGCCTACAGACATGATCTTAATTTCATAATGTCCTTAAACATAACAATATTGCTGGCCATGAACTGAGAAAGTGCGCGTCAGGTGTGCTACACGCGACGCGGCGCGGAGCTGCGCTTCTCGTCCGGTGTGCGACCCCCTTAAGCCCAATCTGCAGAATGTGTAGCCACCAACCTTTTTACCCATCTCCGTGTCCATCACCCTGCGGATTACGCTATTTTACAGAGAGTAAATTGCGATTATTTTACTAGTCATGGAATGGGAAATGTGACATTAACCTGTTAACAGCGGGTTTTTGTTTTCATATGTTTAAATAAAGGGTGATTATTAAGTACCCTGTTTTCTTTACTCGTCTTATTTTTGTATTTTTGTATTTGCACTTGATTTGTTTTGTTCAAATCTGCATGACTTGCACCGGCTCAACAACAGCTTTTCAGTTCTTCAGGAAACATTCAGACAGTGTTTCGCTCCAGTTTGAAACCAGATATACTTCACATGCTTGTCTTACTTCACAAAAATGTGCATTCAAATATAAGAACGCAAGAAGTAAAAATGCAAAAAATAAAAATTAAATAAAGTAAAAATTAATTTGACTGATTTGACATTTTTTACCCCAAGGTTTCTATAGATATCGCGATATATCGATATCGTGAATTATTTTGGCCACAATAACCATGGTGTGAAAAATCTAACATCGTGACAGCAACATCTGATGAAACTTATCCGAGTTGCTTAGAGTTGATGATTCCCTCAACTTCCACTAGCACTGTTCGCAAGACTGGTTCAGTTACTGTCATTTAGCACCTAGCAGTGATCACATTTTCATTCAGAATTTATACACCTGGTAACCAGTTCTTCTAAACGTCATTGCAGTGTGTACATCTGGTAGTATTGTTGTCATGTCACAGAATTCGTTCTCCAATTTGTTACACCTGAATATTTAAATGTGAGGAGCATTAAAATGAACATGATTAAAAAGAGAATAATTCAGACATGTTGCCATACCATTCAATTTCTCAGAGAGATGCAAGGCTTTTACTCGGGAAAACACCCATCCAGGGTGCCAGAGCTGGAGGGATAATTCATTCAATCTACCAGTGCCAGTCTAAAGGCTGATTTATACTTCTGCGTCGGACCTACGCCGGAGCCTATATGATATAGACTACGCGTTGGTTTTCATTCATACTTCTGCGTCGTTGTCCGCCTTGACGCATGCAGAGGGAGCGTGTGAAACCCGGGGAGCGGTTCTAGCAGACCAATCACAGCGCTTGCGGTACGCGTAGAATTGACGCGTTGTTACATTTTTGGAGAGGTGCACGTCAGGGTACGCCGAAGGGTACGCGCGCTACACACAGCCTACGACGTAGCTACGGCGGGAGGTCGACGCATAAGTATAAATTGGGCCTAGTTAATCGTCCAGTTTGTGAATAGGTCAGGATTGTTGTAGATTATTCTGATTTCAGAACAGCAAATACCAAGCCTGTTTCAAAAGCTTTATTAAACAAAGACAAGAATGTATTTTCTTGAAGTACTGCAAATGTATTTATACCTGAATATATGAATTTATATCTACACAGAAGATATGTGTACAAGTGAAACTCGAAAAATATATAGAATATTGTGCAAAAGTTCATTTATTTCATTCATGAAAACCCCAAATTCAAAATTAGAATATTGTGAAAAGATTTTCATAAGCTGTAAGCCATAATCATCCAAATTATAACAAATAAAGGCTTGAAATATCTCACTTTGCATGTAATGAGTCTAATAAAATAAATGAATTCAGAAAGTTGTTCACATGGTAAGCAAGTTTTTCAATATTTTGAATACAAAAGGAAAAACAAAGTGATACATCTAACATAGTCAACTCTAATTCATTCTAATTGTCCTGTGTGCTATACTGCCACCTAGTAGCATTGGCTTGTGTGTATGTGTATATTTATTAGTGCTGTCAAACGATTAAAATATTTAAATCGCGATTAATCTCATAGTTAACTCGCAATTATTTGCACATTTTTATCTATTCTAAATGTCTCTTGATTTCTTTTTGTCCCATTATTTTTTTCTCATTTTAATGCTCTTATCAACATGGAAAAGTGGATCGGCTTGCTTTGTGCAAATGTTTTTTATTGAAAACAACATTGGCATATACTGTGTTCAATTCCACACTAACATTCTCGCTTGGAGCAAATAATCTCTCACACAATGTAACAGTGTCCATCAATAAAAGGGTGAAAGAAATCCTGACGAGGTCCTGATATTGACGAGGGGGCGGAGAATTCGCATCAGCTGTGTGTGTGTGTGTGTGTGTGTGTGTGTACTTGGCCATCAAGTGGTATTTCAGGCCCTGTTTACACGAGAACGATTCCGGGTGAAAACGTAAAAATATTTTATCCAATGTGGCTTTCGTTTACAAGGCGACGGCGTTTTGGGAGCTTAAAAACGCAAAAAAGTGAAACCACCCTCCAGAGTGGAAATCTTAAAAACGCTCCACCGTCGCGTTCCCGTCTAAAGGGTGAAAACGCAAATCTACTCACAGTGGCTCTCGTCGCGTACGCGTTTACGTCACGGGCATGCAAGTAACAACCAACATGTCTGAATATTTCCATACGTCGGACCTTCAAGTTGCCTTAGCGGCTCTGATAAACGTACTCGAGTCTTTTCAGCAGTTGTACAAAATATACTCAGATATTGGTGTTGTTGTGTGGCAGTGCTTCACATCGCCACCTAGCTGCCTGGAGTGCATACTACATCGAAGTCACCATATGCACACGGATTCCCCCATAACGGTCGTCTAAACGCAGAATAAAAAGTGATAACACAACACTACTTTTGCGTTTTCTCTTCAAATCGTTTCCGTGTAAACATAGCTTCAGACTGGACGTGCTGCAAATCTGCGATGATGATAGCTCAGTTCACAACGACAAAACACACAGATCACTTTGGTGAACAGATCACAACTTTTTAAAAGTAAACTTTCCATTCAGAATCTTATTGGCATCCATTTCGGCGTCTCGCGCTCGTCATCCACTCAAAACGTAACGTTAACCTACTATTTGGCCGGCTCGCAAGCCCAAACAAGTGTGTGCGGCGTGCCTGTTGTTTTGTTTCAGGTCAATAGCCAGGAACAAAACATAGACGAAGCAACAAAACGTCCTCGCGCAAGTCATTGAAATGAATGTGTCTGTAGCAAAAGCATGCGGAAAAAGACTAAAGTTTGCTAGGCCAAAATTTTTTTTAAATGAATTGCGCGATAAAAAAATTAACGCCGTTAAATTGGGTTTGCGTTAACGCCGTTAATAATGCGTTTAACTGACAGCACTAATATATATATATATATATACACACACTAGACTTGTAGTCAAGACCGCCTAAACCGAGACACTACCAAGACCAGAGGGTCCAGTGTTGTTGAAGCTAAGCAATAACTTGTAAGATTTTGTTTTGCATTGCCTGCCTATCTCTGCTGATTTCGAAATGAATCCATTCAGCAACTTTTAAATACATAATTTTATTTTTAAAAACGAAATTATAAGCTTAAGTGCAGGATCCGAAAGTTGGTTGTTTTGTCGCTATGAAATTTTTACACACACACACACAGTTGGCGGTGCGCTCAAAGTCATCTGTCAGTTGTGCAGTTACCCCAAATCTCCTGAATGAAGGTAAAACCCATCATGTCACTGATATGTGTTTTACTAAACATTAATATATCAAAAACTGTACATGATATGTGTTTTTTAAATCAAGTGATCAAAGTGCTCGTTGCCGCTGCGATCAGTGGCGCGGATACGGCTCGCGCACCGCACTGTCTTCACTCGGACGCGCGCTTCAATCCGTCGGGGATATCGTCGTGGATATTGTAGTATTGTATTGCTAAATCCCCCGACCACTGTGTCGGTCTGAGACAGCGAGACCTAGACAAGACCGAGAGGTCCGAGACCAAGACAAGACCAAGACCAAAGACCGTCAAGGCCATGACAAGACCGAGACCACGTAAAAGTGGTCTCGCGACCGGTCTTGTTACGACCCTAAGGGTCATGTGTTTGGTTGGGGTGTGTTTCTTTCTTCTCGCTCTCAGGTGGTGGCCCCTCCCCCGCCATGTCTCGGCTGCATGCGTGAAAGGAAACAGGTGTGCCTGATTAACACTCAGTACCTGGAGGATAAGAAGACTGTTCTTTCATAGTTTGTTGAGTGTTGTTGTGAGGTGTGTGTTTGTTCTGTTCACTTCTCTTCCTTCCAGTTGTGACCACATTGCAGACCAACTTTATTCAACCTGTGGGTTGAACACCAACTTGCATCGTGTTGTGAGTTTAGAACAGTGTTTGGTGTTTGTTTGTTTGTTAACCTCCTCAGTGGAGAGAGGATTGTTTAGCACTTCAGTTAATGTTGAACCTTGAGTTTTATTCTCAGTTATTTAGTTTGTGTTTATTGTTTGCCTTATCTTGCTTGTATGCTGTCTCATTGTGAGAGAGTTGTTTTGTATTGTTTTTTTTTTCTTAGTCCATATTATAATAAATACACGTTTCAACTTGCACACGACTCTGACTTCCTGTTCTCTTTTGCCCTGGTTATTTTAAATTATTGTTGCTTCCCATTTTTTTTTTACCGTTTGGGGGAACGTAACAGGTCTCGAGACCAAGACCGGTCTCGAGACATGCATCACTAACACACACACAATAAAAACAAATATTTATGTTAGATGCAATTAATCAATTTGACATCATCTGATTCCTAAGATGATACATGTCTGTGAAACTCATTCCACACTGATGGCATAAAACAGGTCTCTCATACATACTCATGTGGTACTTAAGTGAACTCTTAAGACGTCTTAAAAATTGTCCTGTTTGATTGAAATCATTTCCACACTGAATGCACACGTAGGGTTTCTCAGTTTCTCTCCAGAGTGAATTCTCATGAAGTGTCGTTTAAGGCCTCCGCTTTGATAAAAACTCTTTCCACATTGAGGGCATGTGTAAGGCTTCTCTCCAGAGTGAATAATCATGTGCCTTTTAAGGTTTTTTTTATGAGTGAATCTGTTTCCACACTGCTGGCAGGTGAAAGGCCTCTCTCCAGTGGGAATGCGCCTGTGGACTTCAAGGTTCCTGCCTTGAACGATTGTCTTTCCACACTGAGTGGATGGATAAGGCTTCTCTCCAATGTGAACTCTCATGTGCCTATGAAAGTTTCCTTTATCATTGAAACTTTTCCCACATTGTTTGCAGGTGTAGGGCCTCTCTCCAGTGTGAGTTCGAATGTGGAGTTTAAGACTTCCTTTTTGAGTGAAACCCTTTCCACACTGAGGACATGTGAAATGCTTCTCTCCAGTGTGAATTCTCATGTGGACTTTAAGACTTCCTTTTTGAGTGAAACCCTTTCCACACTGTTTGCAGATGAAGGGACTTCTAGTCCTTGCCCTTTGAGCTCTTTTTTGTGAGGAAGTATTTTCAGTCTGTGAGCAACTGAAAGACTTTTCTCCAGTTATGAAATCATTAGGATTCTTACATTGATCTTTCTCTTCAATTTCATTGAGTACTTCAGTCTCCTCTTTCAGTGCCATCATCTCTAAAAAGGACAAATACAAGTTAACCCCACTTTAATGGCACAAAGCAACATACATCCACTGCAACATACAGTACACTGCTTTGATACCATCTGTATTGTAAAAAGCGCTATATAAATAAAGGTGACTTGACAATATAATCAGGACATGGATGCATCGATCACTTGCATCGCTCATGAACTGGAGCGTGTACTTCACAGGCTTGAGAAATATATCAGGGCTCCAGACTAACTTTTTTCACTAGGAGCACAGTGGCCCCCAACTGAAATTTTTAGGGCCACAACCAGAAAATTTAGGAGCACACATCGTAAATCAACATACTAACCAAATATTCACATTTCTACTAATTTCCAGTGTATTATTTACAAATACTTTGATAATAGATGCAGAAATTACAATGCCTTTGCGCTCTGATTTAACGTTACAACCTCTTGTCTTCCAAAAGCAACCGGCAGTGGCGTTGCTTTTTGATTTATTAACATGTCACCGCATACTCTATGCTTGAGGCTAAGATTGTGTTTAACTGGCGTATTGTGTTTAAACTGTGAAGTGCCTGCACTGTCGGCAAACTTAGTGTTCCCCGCAGTTATGGGGTAGCAACTGCAACATTCGCAGGTCATGGAGTTCGTCTCCTTCCAGTACTACCTTAACCAGCTGAATTCGTCTCCTTACAGTACTACCTTAACCCTCTGGGGTCTGAGGTGTTTTCGGGGTCCTTGAGATGTTTTGGCATGCTCTGACATTTGTGCATTTTTCAGTTGCTTATAAACATATTAATGGCACAGGTGAAATTACACTCTATATAGCACACACAGGGCTACCATTATATGTGAGCAACATGTATGTACATGTTTGTATTTTTGAGAGAATATTGTTTATGCGTGGTTATTGAAAAAACTAAAAAATAAATTTTCTAATATATGGCCACAAATAACATACTAAATATCTGTCCACAAGACTTTTGACTAGTGGATGTTGTCGCCTAGAGTATTTGCTTCAAATTGATCTGAAAATCATTCTGGCTAATCATTCACATAAAACAATAGATTGTTTTAAATTGTGAAAAACATTTTTTTGTTTGCAAAGGCAATATGCGGATGGGCGGATCGGCCCAACCCCCTCATGAATAATTAGGCAGTTCTCACCTGAGCAGACTGCATACTAATGAGCCTTTCATTCAGGGGTGTCACACAAGAAAGAATGCAAGGACAATATATATATATAAATAAATAAATATTTATATACACACACACACACACACACACACATATATATATATATATATATATATGTGTGTGTGTGTGTGTGTGTGTGTGTGTGTGTGTATATAAATATTTATTTATTTATATATATATATATATTGTCCTTGCATTCTTTCTTGTGTGACACCCCTGAATGAAAGGCTCATTATATATATATATATATATATATATATATATATATATATATATATATATATACATATATATATATATATATATATATATATATATATATATATATACATATACATATATACATATACATATATATATATATATATATATATATACAAACAATCAAAATATAAATGAAAGCCAAAAGCACATTTTTAGTCACACATTTTAGCCATCCACATACCATTTTTAGCCATCCACCGCGGTAAAAATAAACCAGTCGCATTTCAAAGTCGTACGCGAAATGACCGCCAGGTGGCGCAAAGGGACATTTAGCAAAACGTAAGTGGGGCTAATGTCTATTAACAGTAGCCTAAGGATGAAATACTACAAGTTATGGTAATTTCCAAATAAGCCTACAACAAATTGTTGGTCATACAGATAAGATATAATCTTTTAAAACTGTAAAAGGTTAAAGTAGGCCTACACTCACAGGCTAAAGACAAAACGTTTTCTCGCTCATGTGAGAATCAAACGTTTGGTTATTTCTCAGTAACAAAATTCATAGCCGAGCGGTAGAACTGATGGTTCATCATCAAGATGACACAGGTTCAAATCCCGCACAAACATGGTCTGCTGTATATTTTATATTTATTATTGCAGAGAGATTTGTCTAGCTCTAAAACTCTGTTACACCATACAGTTTTGTTTTATATAGGCTATATATATTTTTTTATTTATTTATTCCAGGCTCTCACGCCACCCCCCCGATTTCTCACGCTGAAGTGTCAACCCGGTCGGTCAAATTCCTGAAAGATATAGTTTATCTATAGATCTACCTGTTGAGCCACTCGTGATCGACTAGTTATACCGTAAATTAGTTAAAATATCCCGTAATCTATTTAGAGCGAGCGTGCATGCGAGACAGATATTGTGCTCCAAACCGTGCGCGCGCATGGCAGAGAGGTCTGTTCCCTACAACCTAGAGTTTTTAAAAACATGGTTTTAAGTAAAGTGTGATTTGCCAGGGGGGACTGGGATTTCCTTCTGGTCTAAACATCCCTACTTCTGCTGAATTATTTTAATCCCCACACCCCTCCCTCCACAGCTAATCAATGCTATAGGCTACTTCACCAATATCAAATATATAAAATAGAGATATGCAACAGGCACGTTTAAACGAAAAACAATAAAATCAAAACCAGCGTTTCAGTTGTTCATTAGTTCCAGTGGCCTTAATGCATGCACGGCTTTTCAAAATTTCACAAAGCGTGTTGAGATTATTTTGAATGAAATATTGAAGTTTATAATTAAGTGTTTTGGCACACCACGCCGAGTGACCCTATGCATTTTTCTAAAGTCGGGTTTTATTCTGGCATCGTGAGTTAGTGTTCGACAAACGCGGCGGCGCGTTCATTTAGATTAATTTATTTATCTCATTATTACAGCTAAAATAACTTAATAGGCGACTCCGTAATTTTTTGGTCATACAGATAAGAGTAGAGTAGCTTACATCGTTCAAAACTGTAAACTTGTATTCATATTAGGCTAACGACAAAAACAGTATATCTGTCCTCTCTGTCTCCGGGAACTGCGCGTCACAAAAATGAACCGAAAGCCACTTCAGCTCAGTCACGATAAGAAATCGGCTATGTCTAAAGCCTTTAAATGTCTAAATATTTAGGCTAATAAATGTTATCTGATTATGTAGGCTAATCCATATGAAAACGAGAGGTACAGAGGATCTACTCAAACATGCGCTTCCCAATGAGAAAATGACAAGACATGGGTGAAAATCTCGCTCTAATTAAATGTAGGCTAAATCGCCCTGAATTAAAATGTAAAAACATAATAATGTATTTGTCGAAATGTTGCGATATTGTTTCATTTAAGTTCATAATTATTCTATAAATGTTATTTAATTTAGCAGCATTACCACGAAGCACCGTGTTTCGATATTTATTTGAATAATACAAAATAAAATAAAAACTTAATTCACAAATTGCATGCCTGGTTGTAAGGATCCAAAGATCCCTGTAGACTTTAATATTAAGTGACAACAAATTCACAAGCGTTTTTTCAGATTATATTTAGTTTTGCTTGGAAAAAGCTGCCCCAAACCAGTTTTATTTCATCAATTATTGAAATAATGAAATATTTAGTAATAAACTTTTATGACAGAAATATCACTAGGCTACATGTAACTTAAATCATTTAATTCCTTCATTATCAACACTGTCTAGAATGGCGATTTAAGTGTGAATTGCGACTTCTCTTTGTGTTAAGTCAGCCTCAGACTCCGATAGCCTGTGGGGGGTTGGAGGGACAGTTGCTGGACAAAGGTGTTAATGTTCCTCTTTCATATGGAGAGTGTCGGATAGCCAGCCTGATGAGCAGGCAAAATTATTGTAAGGATAAATCTGTGTCCAAATGTAGGCCCCATATCTTATTAAATTATAAATATTGTAGTTTATTTATTGTAGCCTATTTAAAGTTTTTTTTTCACACAAAATTTCAATTGAAGTTATTGTAAGGTGAATTCAACAAGGCATGCTGTGTCTTTGAAGCAACAATTAAAGGTTAAATAATTTTTTCGTGATTTGTATGGCTGACACGCAGCGACATATACAGTATTATCAGCTGTATGATGTGTTTTTACCCTGAAATGATTAATTTCGAGAGAGAGACCCGCGCGCGCAGCGAGGGAGACTAAATAAACTTGTTAAAAAGAGATCCAGCGCGAGAGAGGCAAAGAGAAACGCATGTTTTTAATTTAATTATGTTTCTTTGGACAATTTTCGTTTTGTAGGCCTACTGTTTTAATTGTTTAATTTAGCTGTAATTTCTTTGGCAATACAAATTTAAAATGTCGCAAGAATAAGATTAGCCTAGTGTTTCTTATTTTGCATCGCAAAAGAAATAAACTCTAAACAAGATGCAACCCTGTTTTAAATTAAACAATTTAAACCTTGAAATGTTCGAACTTGGTTTCAAACTTAAGTAATTTTAGTGTTCTTTTACATTACACAATAATTTAGCAGACTAAAGACGAGCTTCTTCATTTTCATTTTCTGATCGGCTGACAATCTTCATCAGTTTTTGTCGTTTGTGCAGCGGCTGCGGTTCTACAGGAATGTAGCAAATTTATGTTGTAATGATAATCAAACAAAACTCTTGACTTTAAATAAGTAAACAGATATAAACAGTTACCTATTTAAGCATCAAGGTGGGAAAATATAAACGTAGGACAACATCGGTTAACAACATCTATGCTACATTGAGATTCGATCTCGGGTCTGTTGAAGCTCCTCGAAGCTCGTGTCGTTGCGTTGATCACTGAGCTATCGTCTGTACGCTGTTAAAGTTGTAAAGCCTCGTTCATGTAGCCTAAATGTTTTTATTGCAATGTTTTATGTTGAAATGTTTTCATTATTTATTCAATTACATTTCAGTAGCCTAATTTCAGTATTGTGATTATGAATTATTTTAACTACGTTTCACTTGTTGAATTCTTCTGCTACCAGCTTTCAATCGCTCTGAATCAGCGCGGTGCGGCAGCAGATTACGCATTAGAGAGAATAAACCGGAATAAACGAACACTTTTCAGAGTCTATGATTGTAGCGCC